CGTCGCCGACAGCAAGAGCGGCTGCACCCGTGAGTGGCCCCTGGCCCTGAGCCCTTGTCCCTGGGCCCGTGGCCCTTGTCCCTGCAGCTCTCCACTGGCACAGCCACCTGCCCTGCTCAAGCCATGCAGGGTGTCCCGTTCTATTTCAAACAATCGCCCCTAATGTCGGTCCTGTTCTCAGTCGGCGGGTGTTTGTGCAGAGCTTCTTGCTCCCTGCGAGACAGACAGGGTGACCTGAAGGTCTTGCTCCCTGTAGTGCAGCTTGGCTAGGAGATGGTGTCTCTTTCCATCCTGGCCAGATGTTCTGCAGGGCTGCTTGAGCCCTGGGGTCCCACATGTGCCTGTGAGTTGGGTGTGGGATCACGAGCCATAGGAGGGCGGTCAGAGGGTAGAGCTGGAGGCTGGGCTTGGGTCAACAAGCACAGGGTAGCAATCAGCATTATGGTCTTCCCCTGGACACTTCTCTTTGCTCTTCTCTTGGCTTTGCTCCACAAATCCCCCAGCAAACCAGTGTCCTTTTTACTGTTATTCCCCTTCTTGCCCAGCCTGTAACTGCGACCCAGTGGGCTCGGTGCGCGACGACTGTGAGCAGATGACTGGGCTGTGCTCCTGCAAGACTGGGATCACTGGCATGAAGTGCAACCAGTGCCCCAACGGCAGCAAGCTGGGCATGACTGGCTGTGAGAAAGGTGAGGGAGCCACACAGCAGGTCGCTGAGAAGTGGGTGCTTGGGTACCATGGCAGGTGGGTGGGGAGAAATGCCTACCTCCCACCCTGGTGCTTTGGGGCAAGGGGCTGTGGGTTCCACTCCTGGCTGGGTTCCTGTGACCAGGGACTGCTGGTGAAAGTCTGACTTGCTCTGGCAGGTCCCTGGGAGAGCTAAAACCTGCTGGGAGGAGGGAGGGATTTTGGCTCAGCATAGCCTGTGTCGCTGGTGTGTGCTTTGTTGCTCATCTCTCCTCCCTCTCTCCCTACCCCAGACCCGTCAGCCCCAAAATCCTGTGAGGAGATGAGCTGTGAGTTTGGAGCCTCTTGTGTGGAAGTGAATGGCTTTGCCCACTGCGAGTGCCCGTCCCCACTCTGCTCCGAGGCCAACATGACTAAGGTTTGTGGGGGGGCTGAGCAGTGTGTGGGGACATGGGGCCAGTTCTGCTGCCCCGGGCTGGTGCAGGCAGCCTGGGAGCCTGGTGTCTCTCCCCTCCGTGAGGAGCAGGCAGGCAAGTTTAGTCTCACTGTCCTTGGTGTGTGGGGAAGGGTGCTCTGTGCCCCATCTGGCATCTCTGAGCTGCTCCCCTCCTGGGCTTCTGCAGCCCACCCTGGGGTCCCTCTGTACAGACCCCTCCTTGCCCCTGCAAGGCCTCTGCTCCCAGCATTAGAGACCGGGTTGTTTTGCCCAGGGCTTGGAGGAGGACAGAGGCACAGCTCACATTTCCCCTCTGCCTCCCAGGTGTGTGGCTCTGATGGTGTCACCTACGGGGACCAGTGCCAGCTGAAGACCATCGCCTGCCGGCAGGGCCAGCTCATCACAGTGAAGCACATGGGGCAGTGCCAGGGTGAGTGCCCGTGGCTCTGGGTGCTGGGGCAGGGCCAGCTCTCAGGCCTGCTGCTGCACCAGGCTCTGGCTGCAGCAATGTCATGGCCAGCCTCTCCCAGACCTGTCCTCCTAACCCACCTTGTTCTGCTGCTCCTTGCAGAGTCCATCACCCACACCAGCCACATCTCACCACCCACACCACTTCCCACACTGCCCCTGGACAAGTTAATCCTTCCTCCACCACGGCTCACCACCCAGGCCCCCGAGCCCCCCGAGCTGGCTGCCAGCTCCCCTCCATTGCAAGCCAGGTCTACTGAGACAAGTCACCCCACGACGAGACGCGTCACGACTGCCAGACCTGCCACGACGCCGTGGGTGACCCACGGGGTGTACAAGACCACTGTTCGCCCTCTCTCCACTGCACCAGTGGTCCTGACCACCCCCCAGCCTGCCTACGTGGAATCAGGCAGTGCAGAAGGCAGTGGAGACCAAGAGATGGGCATCAGTGGAGACCAGGAATCGAGCGGGGCAGGCTCTGCTGGTGAGTGTGCTCCTCTTGGCCGTGGCAGGTTGGTTGTGGGCTGACCCATCCCCTGTCCCTCACGAGATGAAGCTGTGTGTCAGCCTCATTCTCTGGCACAGAGGTGAGGTCTTACCTCCTGCTGGTGAATGCTCCTCTTGCTGCCCTGCAGGGGAGGAGGAGGAGGAGGAGGAGGAAAGCCAGGTGACTTCCACCCCGGCCATCGAGAGGGCGACGTGTTACAACACCCCGCTGGGCTGCTGCTCTGATGGCAAGACTGCAGCTGCTGATGCAGAAGGCAGCAACTGTCCAGGTGAGTTCGTCCTCGGGGCTGGGCTCTGGGCTCCCTTTTGGTGGTCAGGAGGCAGACTGAGCCCTTGCAGGGTGCAGGAGAGGGAGAGCTGCCACCACCAGCTGCCAGGTGGGGACAGCAGCAGGGTGCTGTGCTTGCCCAGCATCAGCACTGTTCCTGTGCCTGGTCTCAGGGCTGGTGTGTCCCTGAGGGGATGAATGTTCCTGGGAATGTGCTGAGCCTCTGGGAGCTGCCAGACCTTGTGCTCACCTGCCACAGCACCTTCACTTTAGTGACTACTTCCTTCCTTGACTGCCACAGCTTTAAAACTTGGACCAGTGCTTTGCCCAGGCTTCTGCAGAGCTCACAACTGGGATGAGGGAATTTCTTGAATTCCCATGTTATATTTGTTGATGGCTGGAAAGGGAGCTGGGCTGCCCAGGACCAGTTTGTTGCCAGAGCAGGCAGGAAGAGCAGATGTAGCCCCAGTGGCCCTGCTGGGCTTCCTGGGGAGTCTGAGCTGTCCCATGGTGGTTCCCAGGGGTGCACAATGATCTCATGGCCTAGGTTGGATCTGTCTTGCCAACTTAAAGTCCCTTTCACCTTGTCCATGTTAAAACCCAGAGCCCCCTGTGCTCAGTCAGAGTATTTGTTGTCCTGTATAAACATCCTCCTTACCCTAAAAAATGTTGCTCTGGGACCGTCTCCAAGATGTTTCCTCACTGAGGTTCTTCTGTTCCTGTTCCTTGGGGTTCCTAGCAGGACATCCCCTTTTCCTATGGTCACTGTTCCCTTTTTAACCCACAGAAGGACAGCTGCTGGGAACCTCCCGTGGGGTTACCCACAGCAGGGATCTTTCTGCAGCCCCACAGCTCCCCTGGAAGGGAACCACACCTTGGGTTCCTGGGGCAGCTTCGCTCTGGTTTTGCAGGGCTGGCCACAGCCTGTCAGCTGGCAGGCTCTCTGCTTCCCTCCAGCAGCACAGGTCTTCTCCTCGACCAGAGTCCACAGGTGGCCCTTCTCTGCCCTGTTTGCATGCTCATGTCTGATCCTGCTGTGGTGACTCTGTGCTGCTCTGGCTAATGTCTTTCTCTTGTTACTCAGCCGGTGCAGGGGGGCTGCTCTCCGGGCCGGAGCTCAGAGGAACCCGTATGGTAAAAGCTGCCATCTCCAGCCTGGTCTTTGCCATCTGCTCCAGCACCCTCTGACACTAATCCTCCATGGTGCTTTCCCAGACCCATCCAGACTAACCCCAACACTGGCACTACCCACACACTGCCATCCCCTTCCCCCCCAGGGACTCCAACGCTCCTTGCGGCTGAGCACGCCTGTCCCCTGCCCACAAGCCAACTAAAGGAGTTTGTCTTGTTTATCCTCCCTCCTGTAGCTACCAAAGTCTTCCAAGGAGTCCTCATCTTGGAGGAGGTGGAAGGCCAGGAGCTGTTCTACACACCTGAGATGGCTGACCCCAAGTCAGAGCTCTTTGGGGAGACAGCCAGGAGCATTGAGAGCGCGGTGAGTCCTTCGTGCTTCACCCAGGGCCTGGCCAGAGCTCTTCTGGCCTTGGCAAAAGGCAAGAGGACCCTGCCCACCTCCTGTCTGCACTGTGGTGGACAGATGACTAAAGCCCAAGTGTTCACTTCCAGAAACAGTCCGTGCTTGGGGTTGGACTAGATGATCTTCTTGAGGTCCCTTCCAACCCAGCCCGCTCTGTGATTCTGTGGCCTGTCGTGGGTGTCAAGTGAAAGCAGAGAGACCTTTCTGCAGAGGGTGTGGGGTGCCTTGAGGAGCACTGCTCCATGCTGAGGGGGTTTTTTTGAGATGGGCTTAGCCTACAAAACTTGGGAGTGAACACAGCTCAGGGCCAGGGCTTTGCTGGGGTGGGCACTTCAGTGTAAGGAGATGATGCATCAGTTCTGTTGAGGAGGGTCCCTCTGTGCATTTATCATATCTCCTTTTAATCTACATGTGTTATTAGGCTCTACCATGTGATGTGTCAGTGGGTTCCATCTTTTGTGATGTGCTGGGCCAAAAATTACTCTTTTTCAGCTTGTTCTTGGTGATGGGGCTGTTTAGGCAAGAAGTTCTGCCTTGACACCCTTAGATTTCCTCAAGTGTCTTTATCTCCACGAGAAGCCCTTAGACAAAAACACATCCAAGACCCCTTTACCTCTCCAATTCAGCTACACAACTTGGGAAGCTGGAAATCCAGTCTCTCACCTTTAAGGAGAACCCCCTGGCATTGCCAGCTCTGGGGAGAAGGAGACATTGTGTGGTGACATGTACACAGGGCAGTGCCAAGGAAGGTCTGGATGGGGTACCACCATTGTCCTGCAGCCTGCAGGGTGGCACAGCACATCCAAAGCATCTTTGCAAGGAGATCAACATATTTATAGCTGGTTCCAAGCTGCACTTAGAAGCTGGAAAGCCCTTGGAACAGTCATAAAAGCAGATGTGTGCCTGGCATATGGACCATATGGTTCATGCAGTTCTGTGTCACAATAGCAATATTTCCCAGGACAACAGTGGCTCCTATCTGAGGGTGCAAACAGGCACCTAAAAGCTTCATTCACTGGTTCACCCATTTTCCACCCCAAGAAGGCAAGAGATTCTACTGGTTGGTTTTCCCAGGCTGGGGGAAATGCAGGCATGGCACAGCCCCCCTGTCCCAGGGACCATTTGTGGCTGGGCTGGGAGTTCCTGCCACAGCCTTGGGCTGCAGAGACCTGTTGTGCCTGAGCAACTACCTGGACATAGCCATGGATGTGATGTGCTCCTTCAGCCTTCAGGGATCACAGTGTCTGAATTTATAGGGCCAGACTGGCTTGGTCTCCTTCGTGTGACTTCAGACAAATCCTGCAGTGCCTGAGAGCCCAGCTGTGAAAGGCAGCAGGGACCTACAGATGTGGAATGATGCCTTGTGGGATTTCCCCAAGTGCCTAAGCAGCTTTACACAGCTTTAGAAGAGATCAGTAAGACTTAGATGCCACACAAGGGAAAATCCCTCTCTGAACTCCAAGGTGTCTGAGGTCTGGCTCTGTTCTACTCCTTTCCATGGGTAGGGTGGGGGTAGCTGACTTTGCCCACACTGTCTGGATCCTGTTCTTGCCTTTGACTGCAGGCCATAAGGAATAGGGACCACCTGAAATTACCACCCTACACCAAGAGCTTTGTTCTCTGCCCGTGTCAGTGGGATGTCTTGCCCAGGTTTGGATGCCAACTGGGGTGAAACAAAGACCTGTTGAGACTCGAGATCTTTTCCTGAAAGACCCTCTGCCCTTGGGAACCTCCCCGTTCATCAGTTTCTCTTCCCTCCTTCCCCTCCACCCCACCAGCTGGACGAGCTTTTCCGCAGCTCTGACGTCAAGAAGGATTTCAAGAGCATCCGTGTGCGGGACCTGGGGCAGAGCAGCGCTGTCCGTGTCATCGTGGAGTCCCACTTTGACCCAGGTAGGACCCTTCCCAGTGCTGATCCCCCTCCCAAGGAGGGAGCACGTTACTCCCAGCGGGGCTGTCAGCCTGAGAAACGTGCCTGTGGCACAAAAGGATGGAAGAGCCTTATTCAAACCTGCTGGGGATGTGTCTTCTGTTCAGCAAAACCAACGGGTGCTGTGGGAAGAGCTGGGAGGAGGTGTACCCTGAGCTGGGGCCTGCAAGGCTGGAGGCTTTTTCCCAGTGAAGGGAATGATTCGGATGCATCGTGGGGAGGTGATGGAGGGAAACTGCCAGGTGGGCCTGCATCTTCACTCTTGCCTTTCTCCTTTCTCCTCCTGGCTACCATCAGCCACTTCCTACAGCTTGGTCTCCTTCGTGTGACTTCAGACAAATCCTGCAGTGCCTGAGAGCCCAGCTGTGAAAGGCAGCAGGGACCTACAGATGTGGAATGATGCCTTGTGGGATTTCCCCAAGTGCCTAAGCAGCTTTACACAGCTTTAGAAGAGATCAGTAAGACTTAGATGCCACACAAGGGAAAATCCCTCTCTGAACTCCAAGGTGTCTGAGGTCTGGCTCTGTTCTACTCCTTTCCATGGGTAGGGTGGGGGTAGCTGACTTTGCCCACACTGTCTGGATCCTGTTCTTGCCTTTGACTGCAGGCCATAAGGAATAGGGACCACCTGAAATTACCACCCTACACCAAGAGCTTTGTTCTCTGCCCGTGTCAGTGGGATGTCTTGCCCAGGTTTGGATGCCAACTGGGGTGAAACAAAGACCTGTTGAGACTCGAGATCTTTTCCTGAAAGACCCTCTGCCCTTGGGAACCTCCCCGTTCATCAGTTTCTCTTCCCTCCTTCCCCTCCACCCCACCAGCTGGACGAGCTTTTCCGCAGCTCTGACGTCAAGAAGGATTTCAAGAGCATCCGTGTGCGGGACCTGGGGCAGAGCAGCGCTGTCCGTGTCATCGTGGAGTCCCACTTTGACCCAGGTAGGACCCTTCCCAGTGCTGATCCCCCTCCCAAGGAGGGAGCACGTTACTCCCAGCGGGGCTGTCAGCCTGAGAAACGTGCCTGTGGCACAAAAGGATGGAAGAGCCTTATTCAAACCTGCTGGGGATGTGTCTTCTGTTCAGCAAAACCAACGGGTGCTGTGGGAAGAGCTGGGAGGAGGTGTACCCTGAGCTGGGGCCTGCAAGGCTGGAGGCTTTTTCCCAGTGAAGGGAATGATTCGGATGCATCGTGGGGAGGTGATGGAGGGAAACTGCCAGGTGGGCCTGCATCTTCACTCTTGCCTTTCTCCTTTCTCCTCCTGGCTACCATCAGCCACTTCCTACACGGCAGCTGATGTCCAAGGGGCCCTGCTGAAGCAGATCAAAGCTTCCAAGAAGAAGACCATCCTGGTGAAGAAGCCCCAGCAGGAGCACGTCAAATTTATGGACTTTGGTGAGTCCTCTCTTTCTGTGATCAGTCTCCCTCTCTTGGTTTAGGCTTTTGAGGGGGAACTCTCAGGCCTGGAGAGCAGAGAGGAGGGAGCTCTTGGGCTTTTGGGTGTGTGGTAGCAGGAGGAAGAGCCATCCACCCAATCCTCCCTGCTGCCATCTCACCCCAGAAGCCCTGAGCTCCTTTCCCTGCCCTC